TACCTCTAGTTCACAAATAGGCAGTGTCAGGATATCAGTTCTATCTCAGGTTCCACATGCTACTGTTCCTGTTTGCTGCCTAGGAGAGCTGTTATAACTGTTATAGTAGCATGCCATTAGGCAATGTTAGCAGATAGCCTGGATTTTAAAAGCAGCATCTCCTACTATCAGATTGATGCTTCTGGCTGTGGTGCAGTATCCCAGTGGAAGAGGATGGGAGAAAGGCTTTCCCTGCTGCTGCCCAGATGTTTTCTGGTTAAATGCCCCCAGACTTATGAGCCACCTGCTCTTACGGAAGAAAAATTTCTCTAAATCTGTGCAGGCAAATGACTTACTATAGTAACTGCTGCCTGCTGTGGGTGCTGAATTTTGCTTAAGATGATAGATAGGAAGTGAATGTTACCATTGTCATATAGGTTGCTAAAGGGCATCTTATATCCCAGTTACAAGCATTGTTGGGCTGAGCCTGAGTGCTACATCAACAGCTTATTTGAAAAGGCATGCAGGAAACTTTATTTTCTTGAATGTGTTCTTAATTTGTATTTCTACTTTTTTCCCCTAAGTAGGTTCCTAATTATGAAAAATACTGATTTCTTTTATCAGATATAGGTCAAGTTCTAGTTCTGGCTGTGCAGACTGAAGAAACAACTGCCCTCCATCCCCTGGTCTGCTGGTTGAATGCTTATGTGACATTTCCCTAACCTGTTCTGGTCAATAGTTGACTTAGGAAAGATCTACTATACAAACAATTTCAAGCTAATTGATTCATTTTTGGCTGAAATGTGCCCCCAAGCAGCTCTGTTAATGAAACTGTCAGAGGGGGGCATTGAACCACAGAGGATTGCACTCCTAAGCTGTAGAAGGAGATAGAGGTGTGGTGCCTTTACACACTAACCATTCATACTAACTGAAGGACTGTTGTGCATATATACGTCTAACTTATGTAACTACACTGTGTGTTTGTATTCAGATTGACACAGTTATCTCTCTCCTATCTCTTTCAAGTTCCTGTAACAGAAATAGATGAATCAAGCCTGCTTTTTTTGTTTTCCTCACTTCAAAAAGTGATCTCCTCTTGAGCCAGAGTGCTGATAGAGCTGACTTGTATGGACTTGGTTGTGTTAAATTTTCTGTGCTGTTGATAATTGACTAATGAATCAAATGGAATATATTTTTCATTTGAATGTGATTTCTGTTAGAGCTTGAAAGTGGAACAAAAGACTTCTTTTGATCATATTTAATTTTATATTATTATTATTTACTAGCAAAATGTCTGCAGTGTTTAGTCTATGTACTATATGGTACTGTTTCATTTGAAAAAGAATGTCAATCCTGGCTAGATCTGATTTGCTACACTGACAAATGGTGTGGATGCTGTGTTTTCTAATGAATGTAAGAAAGCTGTCTTTCCTATCTGCCCACAAAAACTTCTAGTTTTCAGAACTTGGATCTGTCTTTTAAAGGCCTATATATATTCTTCATGTTAACTTTCTGTGCTGATTTAAAAAGCTGTTTGTTTATAGCTATTAGTATCTTAAGAGTGCCCCAACTACCAAAGAAAGTAAGTCCATATTGTTTGGTGTGGTGGATTATATAAATTTTTCAATAATGGACAAATAACAGCAAGATCCACCAGATTACACTGCACTACAGCATGTCTATCCATTGAGCAATTTCTATGTTGGGTAAAATAAAGTACTTGAGAGATTTAGTTCAAAACTATGTGCAAGCAGACAGATGAAATGGAAGACAATTCAGGTCTTTTAAGTATTAGACTAACATCTAAGATGCTCTAAATAGAAGCTAAGAAAATACATCAACAATTACTTTAATTTGACATAAATTCTTTTTCTTTGCTGCTCAGTAAGCATTAAGACAAATGTTGATTTCATCTCTTTAGGATTGACCAGATATTAATATATGTGCACGCATGCGTGCACACACACCCCTAATCACTTCAGGATACATGGTTTATCTATGTACTGTAAAATTTTTTTTGTGTACTATCTATTCACCAAGTTTTCCTTTTTCCCCAAGGTGATTTTAAATATAGCTTTCAAAACTTTAGGCACAATTAAAAAATAGTAGGAAGAAAAGATATTATTAATGTTTGAGGATTGGATTAGTACATACTTCTGAGATTAACTGTGTCTTAATCAGCCATTGGATAGTTGGCTGAAAACATTCATATCACCCCAGGAAAGAGGGGCTATCCTCTGCAAGCATGTAAAAACAGTGGGCCTAAACAAGAGGGAAGCACAAAGCTGAGAAAAGCTGCTACAAGATTTATGAACTCTATCTGAACAAAAATAAACTTCTGAAGATGATAAAAAAACTGAAGGCATCTGTTGTCTTTAACAGATATTAGGCTTTTTTATAGAAATAACTAGAGAAAGGCATCTTAATGCAGGAGATATGACAGTACCATTTGTCCAAAAGGTGGACAAGATCCTAGAATTCTAGACCCCAAAAGTGTGTGTCTGTCCATCTGTTTCTACCATACCCACCTTGTAAGCTGTATGAACCTGATGCAGTCATAAGAAATGAATGGCTTTTTTTATTCAGAAGCTCAACCAAGTCTTTTTGCCTTACAAATGGGGACTTGGAGGAGGGCAGGGTAAAGAAGAAAAATTCTTGAATGCAGGTGATACTTCTCTGAACACACTTACTAGAATCTGCTGTGTTTGGCCTGCCTTGAGCATAACCTGAAGAATCTTAACCAATTCATTAATGTGCTATGAAAGATGGCATGGTTCTTTGTTTTACACTGATGGAGCTTCATGAGATAATTTCCTTTCATTCTTTTTCATCCTTTAATGGGTAAAAATACCATTATTTGCTTGTATGTCCTGTAAGAGAGAACATGAGTGGCAGTCCTTTCTTCCATTACATTGTGTAATGTGCTGTCCTGCAATGTGTAAATTGCTGAACACAGCTCCCAACTGCAGATTTACTTCCTACAAATGTCAGAGGTATTAGATCAAAGGTATTATTAACTTCTACAGCATCTCAAAAAGCTCTTGATACTTATTGAATGATGCAATGTCTTGATGTCTTGCTACCAAAATTTGTCTCCTGGGCACACTTATACTTTCAACAAACCTTGAAATACTGAAATGTGTAGTAGTAGTGTGCATATACGTGAGAAGTAGCCTTGCAGGAAGATGCAAATAAAAAAAAATTAGATTTCTGAAATTCATTTAACAACTCTTGGAACTTGCAACTCTGTTTCCAACTCTGCAGAGCAGCAGAATGAAACAGAGGGTAAAAAAAAATGCGGTCACATGGAGATCAGCTAGCGCATTCAAATCTGAACAAAATTCCCAAAACTCCAGAGCCATCATCCTGCTGGCTAATTAGGTATTGCTTAAGGGAGAAAAAAAAATGCTGTTGTGTGCTTGTGTTGCCTTTTGAAAACCAGGGAATCATGGTCCTGCTTACTGCTCTAAGTTGGTGCAGATAATGTGTTTTCTCAGAGTTGCTGAGACTACATTTATTTAATCCTTTGTCAAGTAGCTGTGCTCAGCTGACATGTCCTCTCCTAGCAAATACCTTGACATATGTCTATCTGTGTCCCTGCTGTAAAAAGTATGCTTGCCCATTTTGCAGCCATCTAAGTCTCACAAGTGACCCAACCATTTTCCTTCATTCTTTTCACCAGCCACATCTCCTTTTTAAATTATAGTAATTTTTTTCTCAATGCTGCTTTTACGTTAGAATTCACAGAGCCTGCTTCCTAGACATTAGACTAATGGCTTAATGGAAATTAAGCAGAAAACCCAGAGCCTCAAGTGGGCTGTTTCTTCATGTTGATTTGCTTGCTTTAATTTTTCAAATTCTCCTGTTAGGCATAGGATGGCTAAAGGCAAAATGTCAAGCTCTAGCCTGGATGCTTTGACCTGCAAACAGACTAGTGATTCTGAGGAACAAATGGCATGACTGGTATTCAGGGTGGTCTTGACTTAAGCCAGTGTTAGTGTAGCTGAAATACTTTGGGACCTTTACAGCCATCATCAGTGTTTGCAGCAACAGGCCTGTGTGAAACTGAGATGTTCTGGCTTGTGAAATACTGTTAGAAATTTTGGTATCTAAATGACTGTTAAGGAAGCACATGGTACTGGACAGCAGAGCTTCAAAGGATAAACTATAATGCATATGAAAGAGAATTAAACCTTAAATGCAGCCAATTAATATGTTCTCAGTTGGGTAGAGGAGGGGAAACAACACTCAAAAATGTTCCCTTGGGTTCTAATCTGTGAAGTGACTCTTTTTCAGGGTAAGTAGACAGAAATACATTTTAGGAAAGGCTGAGTCTTAGACTCAGAATGTTGTCAGGCTTCCACAGCCAATTAAGTTGTAACTGGCAATGATAAGATCTCAAAGAGGGTTGGGAACAAAGCCCCAGAATGCAAATGCCTTTTAGAACATCTTGCCTTGAGAAAATGGACAGGTTCTCTGACAAAGCACTAGTGCATCCTTCATGGAGTTGCCCGGAAGTACTGTAAGAAAATTTCCATTATTGGTAACTTGGCGCTTTTGTGTCTGGATTCTTGTGGGGTTTGAAAATGGAAAATAGCTGTTAGGACTCGGGTATAGTTAGTGAAATGTGTAGTCCTAGGCATCTTTGAGCAACTGAGCTCATTTAAGGCTGTATACAGTCTGTCTAATTGGGAAGGAAGGTGGCAATACAAACTGTACTTTTTCATGTTAAAATTGCCAAGAAATAATTTAAAAAACCCAAACTGTTTCTCTAGGTGACTTTCTGTGATTGTTGTATCTCATCGCTAAATTAAAGCGACAATACTATCTTAAGCTTTCTAATCCATGAGGTTGTGACACGGTTGCTTGCAAGGACATGCAAATAGTCAAATGAATCCATTCCCTTTCTGTTGTTCCTTTCAAACTTGCCCAAGTGATTTTCTGAGGGGACCATATTTTGAACATTTCTCTGGGCACTTATTTAAGTAACTCACTTTCTCCTTTTGATGCTATGTTTCCAGGATGCCAAGTGCACGACTTTGGAGATTTGAATTTCACTCAAGTTCCAAATGACGAACTGTACAACAACCTGATTTTATATCCGCGGTCAGTGGGTTTAGCCAGCCAGGTATTGGCTGATGCTGTAAGCAGAGCAGTAGCTGCTGGACATAGCTGTGTGACTATAGGAGGTGATCACAGGTGAGCTGAACTAGAAGCAATTAATGGTGCATGCTGCAGGTTGACACTTGGAGTATAAGAATTTAATTAAAAAATAAGGGGGTGGTGGGAACAACTTGGGGTTACTTTCTGGCAATACCATAGGGTAGCAGCATTTTCATTTTATTGCTGGGGCTTTTAGGGTGGAACATAGAAGACAGCTACAAAAATCTGACCCTCTAAGACAGTATGGCTTAGCTCTAGACTGTTCTGCAATCTGCAGACGTACAAATGAGGTTTTCCTATTTGGGGAAGTTAGTGTGATCAGGTCCCGTTAGGAACTGTTGCAGTTTCTTTATTGTTGAATGTTTAGTGATGTCTCTTTTGCCCTTCAACTCTCAGGATGTCAACTTCTAGGATGGGTTTGTAATGTCTGCACACAGACCACTTTGTAATAGATCTTGGAACATGTGAATCTCTTTCCTCTCTTTCACTAACCTTTGATCTGAGAAGTAGTTGAGGAAGGTAGGGCATGTAAGAATGAATTGTGGGGGGAGGTATCATGACCAGAATAAAAAATGGGTGAACAGCAGAATTGATGAATGAGCACACTAGATTTCCTAAGAGATCATTTGGAGTTAGAACAGGTGAAAATGTGGGAAGGGTGATGGAGGGAGAAGAGAGTTCTTTCTCATCTGTCAGTACTAGTATAGTCCTGTAGAGTTGGAGTCTCCTGGAATCATGATAGAGGCATGCCATGCAGTTTGTATGGGATGCACCTTTCATTGTCATTAATGTCTGATGTGTTGAAACATGACAACATTGCTGAGTGAAGTTGCAGAGACTTCCCATTGTCCTTGTAGCTGTTCTGAAGGAGAAATGGTGACTAAAGACTTTGCTACTGTACTTCTAGCTTGGCACTTGGTTCTGTCAGTGGCCATGCACGGCAGTGCCCACACCTCGGTGTCATCTGGGTGGATGCGCATGCTGATATCAACACCCCTCTTACAACTCAGTCTGGAAACCTCCATGGACAACCTCTCTCATTTCTCTTGAGAGAGCTTCAAGATAAAGTAAGTATCTTGCTTGTACAGTTAGCCTACATTGAAACCCTTAGCACATTTTACTTTTTCTGGTGTTAGGTGCTTTCTTACCTGCTGCAAATGCAGGGCTTTTTATCTGAGTACAAGCAGAAATATGTATTATTTGTGTGTGTATACATGCACATATGTATACACACATACAAAAATGTACACACACACCTAGAAACACGAGTGAGAAAAAGCACCCTTGTGGGTTGTACAGTAAGCAAGAGTTCACACAAGCTGTGTGTAGCAGCTGACCACGGTGCCGTTCCTGCATAATGAGTGGCGTTGGTGCAGAGACTGTGCAATGACAGCAATTCTACCAACCAAGTAAAAGAGGGAACCTCCTGCCAGCTGAGCCTGTGAGAGCTCTGCTGAGCTTGCCTCCCGTGACAACTGGTTCTTGCATACCTTGCATGCTGCTTCTGCTTAGTTTGGCTCTTCCCATGTTTTGACAACATTGTGGCCTGACAGGGGCTGTTCCTGATGATCCCTACCTTGCTGCTCTAGTGTTGGGTACACTGGCAAATAATTACAAATCAGAACAGCTGTACTTGCTTACAGGGTGCTTTTAAAGAGATAGTCTTTGTCTTGGAAAGAGGTCACGTTATCAAAAAGAGCTATTTACTGGGGCATATGGAATGTACATGGCCAGTTTTTGCTACTGTCAAGATTCTGAACAGTAGGTTGACCTAAGGCCTACAAATCCTTTTGGCTTAGCTGCAGACTGTATCTCCCTATACAGGTACCTGTAGCACCTACTGGAGACACTACAGTGGCAGCCTGTGCATTGTTAATAGCTGGGGCCTTTGCAGTAGGAATGTAGATATGCCATCTGCTTCTGCTGAAGCTTAGGCTGGAGGGCGGGAGCAAGATCAGAAACTGCAGGTTGAGGATGGATGCTGGAGCTGCAGAAAACCTGACTATTTTATTCTTGTGCTTTGGACTGCTAGTCATTTCTCTTAGATTTTTCTCTCTAATAAATTTTGGGGGTGCTGTGTTGATGAAAGTATGCCTCTTCCAAGTAAGATCTGGCATGTTCAATGTCTTTATGGCTATTGAAGATACCATTGTGTTACTACCTGTTTGTCATAGCAAGATTTCTATCATCTGGTAAAGCTCTTCTGCTTTTCTCCTTCAAATTCTTTTGAATGAATTCCATCCACAAGTCAATACAGTCATTTGGTGGTTTTACCTACTTTCCTCTTTCTCATAATTCTTGTATGGTCTCTACAAACATGCTAGAATTCCCAAAGTAATGCAAAATTAGTGGGGCTTCTTGAAATACTCCCAGGACATGAGAAGGTTAATATAAAAGATTACTGTATTTCTAGTTTCTTGCCCATAAGTTAAAGGGGCTGGTATTTTTTTCTTTTTGGTAACTGCACCCACTTCTGCAGGAGATAGGAAGAGCAATAAAGTTTTGTGAATTTTGGAGCTTACCTAAGATGAACAGTTTATGTCTTGGTGAGAATAGAACAAAGCCAAGTTCTTTGATAGCTGAGGAAGGAGAAGAAAGGCAGAGTAAGATAGGCTGCTTTCCTCTTTTGTCAGTAAGACAAAAGTATCTAATAGGCTTCCTGTGCATACATTGTTGATTTCTGGTCTGCTAGGCTCTGGTTCTTGAGCAGCACAGAAAAAGCTGGTTTTTGCATTGGGTTTTTTTTTTGAGCTACTAAAAGAATACTATGAGCTTTCTGGGGTCAATGGGGGAGCAGGCCTCTTGCCAGCAGCAGTAGTGAAGAAAGAGTAAGCTTAGGCTACACTTAAGAGGTGAGTTAGTCAGGTATGGTGCTGGTTATGACATCTTGTCACAAGCCCACCTAAATTCTAGCAGTCAGGAAGCCTATGCAGAAACATCTGACACAAGCCCCTCAACCTGTATTTGCAGCTATACAAACAGATGTATACTCATTTAGAGGGTTTTCTTACATGTTGTATTCCTGTTCAGAGGGGGGGAAAACAGCATCTATCCTGCTGGTACAAGGCAGCTTCTACAAAGTATAAATTTTTAAACAGCTGTATAGCAGTAGTAGAATGTGCTTCAACAATAGCTTGTCTTGCTATGTATCTAACTTGCTGGAGGGAACCTTTCTGCGTGAAGAGGTGCATGTGGCTCGCTCTCATCCAGTAGAGCAGTTGTGTTGATAATGGGACAAAAAAATTTACTGTCCTTCTTTACTGACTGCTTTGCAAGGATTCTTTTTGCATCCTAAAACTGTCTGCTACCAGCAAGAAGGCTACTCCAGTCCTACACTCTGCTAAGCATAACTTCTTTCTCAAAGTGATAGACAAACTAACTAGTTCCACTTTGCTTCTCAAGGTGGGTTCTGTCTTGTCAAAGGGTACATAGCATAGCAGTGTGAGAGGACAAGAGATTTTTGTGGCAAGCCCTGTTATCTCCTTCCTTCCTTTCAGTCATGCTCTGAAGGGGTTTTTGAGCAACCCCTCCCCACCATGACACATCTGTGTGTATGCTTCTCTGGGTGGACTCCCATAATTCCACCAGACTGTCTCTCTGGGTCACAACATCAGGTCATCAACCTTATAGTCTCAGGAAGGCTAGTTAGCACCTGGCTCCTTGTCTAGATTATTTTGTAGAACACAGAGAAACAACAGCTCCTTTGAGAATAAAAAAAAAAAGAGCAAAATAGCCTGCATGATTACATTTTATCTTCCTGATTCATTGCTGACCTCTAACTGGCACTGCTCTTCCAGCATCTCCAGGCTCCTTGTTGTTCATTCCCTATTGAGAGGACATGACACAGAGATAGCAGTGTAACATATGTGTCTCTTGGTGGCACAATCTGTTTAGACTATTCTTGACCCCATGCCAGCAACTTAGTTTAGCTGCTGTAACTTTCTGTGGGATTGCAGGAGAACTGAGTTAGGGGCAATGTCTTCTTGCTTGGTTAGTTCCTAGCCCATGTCTGCTGTATGATGCTACAAACAGCAGTCCTGGCCCAACATAATGGGGGGAATTGATGTGGCAGCAACTGCTTTAATTAGCACAACTGCCAAGAGCTCCCCGGGGCTGTTTCAAGTCCCTCAGTTTAGGTGTTATCTCATCTGTTTTCAGAATCCCTTATGTATTCAGGGCTAAGGAGCTTGGTCAATGCTCTACTGAATTAAATGTCCCCATGTAGCAGACAACATGAAGTATAGAAGTGATGCATCTGGCTATGAAATAAAGGATTTGGCCAGGTCACTGTAGAACAAACCCTGGTGTTGCATAGTCTGTTCACAGGCTGTCAGCTGCTACTTGTTTGTCCAGTTAGTTTCACAGGAGCACTGCTTGGTGGTACTCCTCATGGCATGGTGGCACTTCAGGGTTTTTAAAAAACCTTCAAAATTAATTTTGTTGTTTTAAGGGAAAATATTTATGAACATGATCCTTTGAGTAGCATTCCTTAAACCAAGCATTAGTATCAGGGCTCCTGGAACCATTCAAACTAAACTCATAAACTGCTATTAATAACTTACCATGAAAATGCCTGCACTTTTTCTGATGCCTTTTTGGCTTTACTATCAGCAACTCCTTTTCTATTGCAACAAAGTAAAAACAGAGCCTACCAAAGGAAGTTAAGGCATTCCGTTTTCTTTATTTAAAGAGGAAGAGGTATAATTAAAAATGGCAGTATTAAATCTGCTAAATCATGGATACTAGAGAGTATCTGACAATATTATCACTAGTGTGCTCAGCTTGTGGTATGGTCATGGGTTTTGCAGATACAGCTTCATTTCTGAGACCCGAGTTATTTTTTCCTAGTGGTCTCCAATTCATTTACCCCTCTTCTGAATTCATGACTACAGAAAAGTTTCAGGTCATTGCCTCAGAGTAACAAATACTATTATTATATGTGCTTATTTAATCCCAATGTAATTAAATATAGCTATGGGTGTGTTAGCCTTTAAAAATAAATCCACATGTTGTAACTAGAATATAATTAGTAATTGAGAAGTGTTAAGAGCAGCCTTCTTCCCGCTTCACAGCTGTGGTGGCTGTAGCCATTTTCAGAGCTGGGAGAGGAAGAAGAGAAATTGGAGTTAAAGAACTCCTAAAATTAGTAGATATTACCAACTGAAGGATTTTAAGTAGTCATGGTATGCAATTAATCACCAAAGCTGAAAAATGATGACCTCATCTTTCACTTGCTGTCTTAGACCTGCTCTCTTCAGTGCTACATTGTAATAAAACAGTATGATGTAGCCCCATGTGGAGGCCCAACTTCTTGTCATGCTCTTTTTTTCTTTAACTTCCCACTTTGAATTTGACCATCTTTAATGTTTTTTCAACAAAGTTTGCATGGCTTTTTTGTGATCCTCCTAAAAAGATACAGTTGTCTTGGTTTTTATTCCACTTAAGTGTGATGTCCTGGGTAAGTTACATAGCATTACCACTAAATGTGCTGTAGAAGTGATCTATATCTGGGTATCTACTTTCTTAACATTCCCCCTTATATTCACTGATGCTAATTACTTATTGCTTGTGAATTTGGGCTTTATTCCTCCTCTTCAAACTGGAAAACATAGAAGAGTTAAAAAAACTTCATCCATTAACATTCAACTCAAGTAAAATGGTACAACAAAGCTAAGGACTGAATAAATCAGGAAGCCAAACTCTCAAGTGAAGGAGTTTCGCTGTTTAGACAGAGAAAGGATGCTATAAATAAATACAAAGTTTTGAGGGAAGCATTAAACACAGTTTTGTGTTATATGTGATTAAAATAACCAAATACCAAACCTTTACTTGCAGGTACCACAACTTCCTGGCTTTTCCTGGCTAAAGCCCTGCCTTTCAGCATCTGATATTGTGTACATTGGTTTGAGGGATGTGGATCCTGCTGAATAGTAAGTTGATGTAGATTAAAGGATTTTTGTAAAGGCTTAAATCATGACCACCTTTCTACATCTGGCTGTTCACAAGGGTTGCTAGATTTAAGCTTAGGCCAGTAATGATTTTTTTTAAACAATTTTATTTTAACAGCTATATTTTGAAGAACTATGATATCCAGTATTTTTCCATGAGAGATATCGATCGCCTTGGAATTCAGAAAGTTATGGAAAGAACATTTGAGCAATTGATGGGCAGGTAACAAACTATTATCTGATTTAAACTACTTTCTCATCCACTTGTTGAACTGTGACAGTGTCTGGTAAATAGTAGAGTCTTAGCACTGACTTTAGTCCTTGACTTCCACATCTTGAAATGGAACCATTTGACAGTGTTTGGCAAAAAGCTAAGAGATAGATCACATTAGTCACTACAGTTGTGGCTGTGTTTTATATGATTTGTTCTGTTTTTTAAGGAATTCTGCATTTTGCTGCAGTTTGACAAGATGTTTGAATCAACTCAGTCTAGGGTATACAGTATACTTTTAAAAACATATGTAGCAACTTGACAGTAACTTGAGTTCAGCTGTTAGTCCATGAGGTAGAAGCATTTGATGGCTTTCTCCTTAGACTATGCGTGTATATGTTGTCCTGATGACAACTGCCACTTTCAGTTCACCTAGTGAAGTTCACCCTTAAGTTTGATACTGGAGTCTTTGCTAACCTTGTTCAAGTTTGGGGAACCAGATCAGGGAGCAAATCATGCTTGTCTAGGGATGCAGGGAGAGGATCAGAGTTAGAAAGGGTAACCTCTCACCCCAGGGTAGGACAAAGCCCTGTAAGCAGAACGAGGACCATGTATCTGTGCTGCATGCTGATGTAACTAAAGGTGTGCTCACCCTTCCTAGCTGCAGCTGGGCCAAGTAAAGAAGTTACTAATCCAGATGCTTCTTTCTACTGAGCATCTGCAGTAAGTTGGAAGTACGAAGTCTACCACTTAAATAGCTCATCTGAGTGACAAGTGGTATCCAATTTATTAAGCTGTCATTGGTTGCCAGACTTCATGTAGTAACTAACATGTTTTAGGTTTGAGATTATCCTTCACTTTTTCATCAACTAGGCTTACATGGCAGAGTTTGGAGGCAGCCTTCAACTATTGACCTAGAAAATGCAGAATGCCCCATTCATCTTGTTGAGCTGTGTATGAAATCCTCAAGCTTGGTGCTTCCTGCATCCCAGATGCCATGCAAATCAATGTTTCAGCCTTTCACCCTGGCTTTCTGTACAAAATGAGAAAAGGCTGGATTATATCATACATTTATCTAGATTTTTCCAACTAAGGAGACAAATACCAGATAGGATGGTTAGAACTAAGGTACTTCAGCCAAATCACACCTGAGTGGATGCTCAGTGAAACTAGAAAGACAAACTTCTGTTTTCCAAATGTGTACTGGGGAAAGTTCTAAGCTAAGAGATGTTTTGGAGTCCAAAGAGAATAAAAAAGTCTTTTCCAAATGTATATAAGACATGGTATAGGACTTAGGGTGGGGCTTTAGCATCATGGAGCACGCTGCTACTTTGCTGATCAGCCTAGACAGTAAGAAATACGTGTAGAAAATATTTAAGGTTCTGACATTTGCTTTTTTTTTTTTGTTTTATTCTGTCTCAGGAGACAGAGACCAATCCATCTGAGTTTTGACATTGATGCTTTTGATCCTTCACTGGCTCCAGCAACTGGGACTCCTGTTCTAGGTGGATTAACTTACAGAGAAGGCATGTACATCACAGAGGAAATACACAACACAGGTAGGAGTTGATCAGCAGTACTGGACTAAGCAAGGACAAGACAAACTACATGAAGCTCATATTGGTTATGTTTTTCCTGTGTAAATAGATAGCAAGATAAATGTAGTCAAAGCTAAGGTGCCTATACAGTCAATTCAACCTTCAGGAAGGGAAAAAAAGTCCCATGGTTGGCAGTACCCCAGGTGTTGGAAGCAGCTTAACCATCAACAATTTCAACTTAGCAAAAGTAAATAAAATACATAATACATTAACTACTAATGTAAAAAATTACTTGGTCATCTTTTATATACTGTCTCCTATTCCTAAACACATGAGGTGAGATATAAAAATGGACACCTGGAATAATAAAAAAAAGGATGCAAACAATTTTAAACAGTTTGAAGTTCCATTATAGGATTCAAGGCTAACAAATCAAGCCTTCACCAAGTATATTTGTCCTGATTTTGGCTGGGATAGAGTTAATTTTCTTCTTAGTAGCTGGTAGAGTGTGTTTTGGATTTAGTGTGAGAATGTTGATAACACACTGATGTCTTCAGTTGTTGCTAAGTAGTGATTATACCAAGTCAGGGATTGTTTAGTCTCCCATGCTCTGCCAGCAAGCATGTACACAAGAAGCTGGGAGGGAGAGCATGGCCAGGACAGCATACCCAAACTGGCCAAAGGCATATTCCATACCATAGACCATCATGCTCAGTATATGAACTGTGGGGAGTTGGTCAGGAGGTGCAGATTGCTGCTTGGGGATAGGTCAGCAGGTAGTGAGCAATTGCGTTGTGCATCACTTGTCTTTTCCTGGGTTTTATTTATCTTTTGTTGTTAGTGGTGTTATAATGATGAAAAGGAACATATTTTTTTATTATTGTTATTGATATATTTACTCTAGTTATTAAACCATTCTTATCTTGACCCATGACTACTTTTACTTTTTTTTAATTCTCTTCCCCAGCCTACTGGGAAGGGACAGGAGTGAGCTAGCAGCTGTGTGGGGCTTAGTTACTGGCTGGGGTTAAACTGTGACAGTACTGCAGTTGGCTCAATATATGAAGACTTTCCTCCTTATGCCATGGAGTTTTTATTTAATGTGTTTAAACAGTTATTCACAGTAAATGAAGGGAAAAAATCAGACAAGAGAGTCAATAGAATCATTAATAGGATGGCAAAAAATACTAGATGAGACTTTTATATCCCCTAATTTTTGGACTGGGAGAAAACAAGATTAAAAACCATTCCTCTTGTCATAAATGGAACATGAAACTTATTTTTCCTGAATGCTGAAAGCATCACTGAGTAAGGTACTGACAATGTAAGAACAAACCAAATTAAAAACACAAACTTGCATCTAAGAATGATAATGTCGTCCCTCACTTGAGAGCCAGTTTTACTTGTCTAAGGGGTAGAGTAGGTCACAAGCTCAAATATCAGACTTGCTGCAATGAATGAAAGGCTGCAGAAGAAACCCTATCAGAGATTTTACTTTTTCATTGTAACAAGCTGTAAATCATTTTCACAGGAATGCTTTCAGCTGTTGACATGGTTGAAGTCAATCCACTGCTGGGAGCTTCTCAAGAGGAGGTGAATGCAACTGCTAGTCTTGCAGTTGATGTGATAGCAACATGCTTTGGGCAGACAAGGGAAGGAGCACACACTGCTTTTGATGAACTCCCAACGCCCAGTTCTCCAGATGAATCTGACAGTGAAGAGCAAGTGAGGATTTAACCAAAGTGTTGGGTACATTGGACATTATAGAGCTCTGCTGAGGCACTTGAGTGGATAGATTGTCAACACTTGGCAAATACTGTTAACTTCTCCATTTTTAAATAAACTAGCTTTTCCACTGATTGGTGGCTACTTTATTACATACCAAGATTTATTCATTTTGTGAAGTATATACAAATGGAGACAATAAAATATTTATTACCTTCTTATTAATCTTACCAGTAGTTCAAGTCTGTATCTGCATTTTCCTTTTACTCCCCTTTTCTCTGTCTCTCTAGTGTCAGTACAGTTCCAGTTGACCATGCTGTCTCATGAGACAGTTCAGTCCTCAGACAGTCAAAGGAAACAGACAGCCCTTCTGGTTCAACAGTGGAAAAACTCAACTCAGTCATGAAGATTCATCTGTTGCGAAAGAACTTGTAGTAGACCACACCTCCTAGGATGGCTAGTTCCAGGATGATGATAATTGACAGCAACAACTTATTAGTGGTAACTCTAGAGTTAAAAAAACAACAAAAAATCCAAGCTAGCTTTTTTCCCCCTGATTATGAAAGCAGATTCTAGGTAATTTGATCACCATCTTACCTTCAGTAAAGTATACTCCCTGTTTCAGCTAGACCACAACATGCTATTTGAATAGCTCTTAACAAGTAGGAAGGGACAAACTCAGTAGTTTCCTACTCATGTTTTCCTGGAAATTCTGCTTAAATCTATTTAAACTGTACCAGTTCTGTTCCTCTTCCCCCCACCCCACATAAGGCAGATAATTCTGTTCTACATGTGCCTACTCATTCACTTAATTAAAGAGGAAAACACCAGTTGAACTCCTGTGCTAAAACCCACATTGTGGTGCTTTTACTTGGAACTATGTAGTTGAAGTAAAACTATAAAATCTCAAAATAATAATGTACTTTTACTATTGAAAATTATACTTTAACAATGGGTATAAAGGAAGTGGTGTTAGGCCAAAAGTACCTACTGGAAATGCACTCCATGAACTGGTTTATAAGGATAATTAAACCATATAGTTAAGAAACTGTAAACACACTTAAGCAGCCATGGCTTTAGTCATCAAAATAGCATATACAGTCAGGCTCAGAGTTTCTCATATGACAGTCTAGCTACTCTAGGGCACTACTATGGGCTAAACAGATTTGTCTGTCATCAGACATCTAACTTGCTTAATTGCTGCAGTGATTCATGGCACAGCTTTTTCCAACCTGAATCACAAGGAGTTGAATCTAAAGTTACCATTAGCAATTCACTGTAACTTATGTCCTCAACACAATTTATCATGTCAAATGGCTAAAGACCCCATATTACCCTAAATGAGTAGCACAAATTCAGTGGTGTTCAACTACCTGTACTCCATTAAGTAATTACTAGAGAGCAGAAGACACAAATTAGCATCTGCACATGGGCACGGATTCTGCTTACACATTCCCTAAAACTTCCTGCAGTTCCAGCTGACACTCTTCATTTTTTGCCTGAAACCAGCAGGCAAAAATGGTACCTGCCAAGTGCTGCTCCAAGTCAGTCACGCTACTCACCGCCTGGACATAGAACGTAGAATCTTGCGACTCTTGCTCAAGTTCTCACTTGTATTCACCAACTAAGAAGAAACAGAAGTTATTTGTCAGTTGAACAAGTATACAGCAACTCTGTAAACATGCATCTGGAAGTAGCTTGTGTTGAAATGTTGCAATTAATAATGGGACCAAGGCAAACCATATATTCTCAAAATTCAGAGACAACATTGTTCTCTACAAACTATACAAGCTGGAAGCGTTGTCTCCTTTCTAAGGAGGAAGTAAGACTTTTCATGTATACTCTCCCTTGGATACATACAAAGATATGCAATTTAGAATCGCTTTCTGCCCCTTTAGTTAACCTACAAATATCAGAAAGTTGGCATTAGCTCCTTTCATTAAATTCCATTTCATTGTTCTAGTTGTTGACACCAGAAGAAAACAATACTGACATGGGCTCCCCAGTGCATACCTGGAACTGTTTGAAATGCTGTTCAATTTCTAGCAAAGAACAAACCATGTTGCACTGACAAGTCTAAGTGACCCAGCAGATGTGAGCTCTAACTAAATGAATAGATAATCCATTTCAGCTTTGTAATGCTCAGAAATAACTGGCAAGTATTTCTCAGTCAGCTATTAAGAAGCATGTAATTAAGTGAGGTTATGGACAACTAAAAAAGCTGTCATCTCACAAAATGAGTCAGGATTCATGATGTATGGCCACTGGAGGTCTCCAGGCAAGATTTTGCTATTCCGCTTCCAAACCGTCAAGGGAAGTGAAAGGTAAGCCAGGTCACTTACTTAGCAGCACAGACACCTGCCTGCACAATTCCTCTGTAGTTTAAGCTACTGCCCTCAACTGCAAAACTGTCCCTGTAGGTACGTTACTCTGCACTGAGATGGACTGGACCAAGCTGGGAAGGAAACTACAAAGTCCATTCAAAGCATACTAGATTTCCAATCTTTGCTATGAAAGACCAAGCAAGAAGAAAGTCTACTTCTAGTTGGAATGTGTGGTTAATTAATACAATTCAGCAATACAATGCCTAAAAGGCTCTTAGTAGGTCACAGCTTCATGAACAATCTGTGGAGAGACTCACATGCTTATAGCTGCAAATCTTAAGATCCCATTTCCTTTCCTGCTCTCCAACCCAAATCTGGGAGCAGGGCAAATCAAATTGTGACTGAAATAAAAAACCGACTGAAATGAAAAAGCTACAGGCTTTGTTGCAATAAGTAGAGATAACTCCCAAGAAAAGGGGTATGCTTTTTGTTTTGTCTGACCCTGCTTACTTGCCAAACTCAGCATCCCCCTTCAAGTCACTCACCTAAAAGCTTTACACTTAGGATCCCTTTACACACAGAAAATCCCATCAGTTTGTTACTTCAAAAACTGAATTCTCAGTTTTGCATATGTGTGTAAACAAAACAAATGAATGACTTTTTAAAGCTCCCACAGTAGAAGCACAGCTTCTTGACCCAAGGATGAGGAACAGGCATCTTGTCTGACACCACTTCCTCTTTCCTTAGCCAACCCACAAATATTGGAAGGTTAGTAATTAAGTAATTAAGCTCCTATTAAATTTCATTTCATTTAATTGGAAGAACTTGCTAACTGCCTCACAAATCTGAACCTTTACTAGTAATCTAGTGGTGGGCAATACCTTCACTTTTTTTTAAATCTCTAATTTTTTTCAGTAATGCTATTTTTTTTTTTAGCAGGTTTATGGGTCTAATAATACCCAATCTTGCACAGACACAGCAGCAGACATTTGGCCATCCTGCTTTGGGCCCTTCTACAGTAATTATTTTCCTTTTATGAGCACAGCATAGAAACGTGGCAGCCTGGATCTGGTCTGCAGAAACATCAATTGGATTACCATCTCTAGGGCGGTTTCCACCAGTAGTTACTGGCATACAGTTCCCACTAAGCTAACGTCAGGTTGTTTCAATACAACACCCACAGTTTCTCTGCTTACTCTGCTCTTGGTGCGTTCTAGTTGCTCCCGCTGCTCCCCAAGTTCTTCAATTATATCGGTGCCAATCTGGTCTGTTTCAGCAGCAATTCGGTGCGAGCGCTCAATGCTCTGACTGGCTCTGTTCAGGCTGTCTGTTCCCTGGAGAAGCATCACCCTCTGTGACTGCAGATTAGTCTGAAAAATAACACATGCTTCACTATTAAGCACAAGGACAGAGCTATTAGGCTTCCGACATATTAAAAAGGTAGGACATGACTCCATAGGCCATCCATTTGTATTAGCTGTACATGCTTCTTATGTCAACTGCTGTAGCCTAGTTAATTTTGAAAGAGTTCTTTGTTCACATTGTAAGATCATGGCCAAATCTGGTTAAACCTTGAAAAAGGACACACAGCTACAGAGTTACAACAGTTACAAAAAACTGTCTTTGCAACAATTTACTTTTCCATCAAAGAACATTTACATGAAAATAGTATCTTTGCTTTCCAGATGCTAACTTTTCCTTCCATTGGTATCTAAATTCAGTCTTATTTGTGACTTCACAGTTGGTTGCCAGGGATATCGCCGAGAGTTTACAGTCAAAAGGATTAGGAACAAACAGCACTAACAGATGGACTGCTAAGTAACAAAGATCCTCTTTTCATGCCAGTAGCCTCAGCTAGAGGGTAAGAAATGTTTGCTGACCTTGGGGTCAAAAGGTAGCTAAAATTAAAGTATTTTCTTAAGCTTCAGAAAGTCTAATCTACCACCACGCTCTCAGATTTTAGAGGAACCAATCAAGAGGAATCAAATGCAAAAATTTACCAAGCTACTGCAGAATGAGATACTAAGGAATAAGCCTCCCTCAAACCTTCCTTATCTAAGGCAGACAAACAAAAAGCCCACCCCCATGACCTTTCTGTCCAGACGACAGCACTTTGAAGGTAATAAGCAGATTCAGTCTCACTAACTCAGATATATCTAAGCATATCCAGTAAACAAAGAAATCGGTGTATTTCTCGCACTGTAGCAGCACATCCACAGTGAACAAAGTGCTAGAGGATGACGACTTATGTTTTCTTGAAATTTACACTGAGATTGCTTAAAAGAGGATTCTACCAAAGAACCTATACAGTGCATGATTCACACACTTTGCTAGTTTTGGAGGCTAAAACTAGATCAGTTAGCCTTTCTCCTCAGTCAGTAGCATTACTTTTGTGTTTTCACTGCTGTAGGGGAATTATTAAATAAAGCATTTCAGTACAGAATGTTGTATAAGTTACTAACCGCATGGCATTCAAGGAGTTCCGTTTTGATTACACTCATATCTTTGTTTTAGGACAGAAAAGCTCTCCTTTGAGTTCCAGGTGTTCTTTCTCCTCCCTGAGATATTCATGTTACATACAGAGAGATATGCAGGGAGTTATACAAGCACAGAAGCTAAGTGCATTAAAGTAGAAACACTATAAACAATACTTCTGGAATATTATTTTTAAACGATCACAGCAATGTTAAATAAAATTTATATCCAATTCTCACACTCTGTTCATTTTCTGTGGAGAAGATTCCGTATTTCATATTGCCTTGACTTCCAGGGCCCAATCCCAAATCTGTGCTTCTCATCTCTCTCTGGAACATGGATAGATCTCTTCTATATGCCCGGATTTTGCTCATCATTTGGTTGCGGAAAGGCAGAGGAGCATACTTCAGTTCTTCCTCCATTTCCCGCAGCTTCAATAAAAGAAAATGTGTTTATTTTTTTAAAGCACCAAATCTATCAGCAGCTCTACTCAAAACTTCAAAAATCACCACCAGATGAAGGGATTCATATGTTTTTATGTGATTGGGCAAGGGGGATTAATCCCAAACCCTACACCCCTCACCTAGTATCGAGTACACCATTCTGCCTAATGCTGTTCAGCCCCCACAGATTTTCAGACACACAATGCCTCAAGGAAAAAAAAAAAATTAATTGCCAAGCTTAAATGCTTCTTTTTTCCTGAAAGATCACTCTAACTTCAAAATCTGCAGTTCTTACTTTCCTATAGTTTAAGCATTTATAGGATGGGTATCAGCCTCTAATCATATCTATGCAACAGAGATCTATTGCACAGGTAGGCATGCCGCTAAATTCACACTCTGAACATCCAGGCCTGGCAACTGGAGTTAGGATTTGTAAACCCTGAGATTTTGAATGCATGAATTTTCACATCAACTTTTAGTGACAGTTGTTACAAATTCACAGTGCTTAAAGCTGTCTGCCAATAATGAGCTCTACATCTCATACATCACCTACACAGATATACATCAATAAAACCCAGTAAGTTAGAGGAATGAAACATCACGTTCAGCTATGACTCAAAAACATCCTAACAAATAGCACATTAATATGAAAAGAAAGCTTAATCCATAATGTCTTCCTTAAAAACACAAGTCACATGGGGATTTTTGTGCTGTTCCATGTCACCTGCTGTCCAGGAAGCCTATACAAATAGAGGTTTCAAATATTCAAGGTCCCTGATATTTAACCATCAGACTATTATAGAAAGGTCAGATGGGTTAAGACCAGCATGAGAAAAAGACAGTGTGTGTGTGGGGGGGGGGTCTCTACATGCCCACCCTACAACCTCTAGCAATTTTAATTGCACCGCTGTCACTCTCCTTCATTCAACAAAGGGAAGGCGATATCCAAACCGAGCACTCAAAAAAATAAACGCATGTAAGAATATTTGTCTATATCTGTATACGTATATAGATATATACACAACAGTCTTGACAAACACAGGCACATCTATCAGATCAATTAATCAAACATTAAAAAAATACAACATCTGCCTACCAGAATAGAATCCATAAAGAAAGTAAAATTTGGAAGTACTGTCCTTTTTAAGGCATCGATATTTCAACCAGTCAGAAAGGCCAGAAGCCTAGACTTCTTTTTGTTTACCGTTTCATTTGCTTCACGCTGTTTCTCATCAAATTCTCGAATCAGTTTTTTCTTCTCCTCTGTGAAAGAAAAAGTAGTATGTCAGATAAACTATAGAGAAATAACAACAGAACTCCAACTCAATCCATTATAGACAAGGAAGCTGCCATAGATGGCCAATTACAGAGACACCAGGTCAAAATTTACCTCAAACAGGAACAGCCTGTTCTTACAACAACTTTTCAGAAGGGTGTGAGGCAGGGGGAGAGAGCAGAAACCACCCTTCCAAATGCTGGCTACTACCTCTGGTAGACAAAACCTGAAATATTTTTCTGACCTATTATCCTCCTATCTCCGCTGACGGAATTGCATGTTGAAAAACATTTAACATGAAAGAATAACAAAGAGGACACGTTGGTAACAGTTCACAAATATTTCTTCTTTTTTGCATGCATTTGGCAAGATTACTGAAGGTTGAAAGGATAATTTGGATTTGAACAGAACATCAAGTCAATCTACATTTCCAAGTGAGCCCTGAAGTTCCTGGCAGATAGAGCACTCTGCATTCTTGTGGTCATAAAGTAACTACGTAAACAGAATAAGCATTCTAGAGTACTTGAAGTTTAAAGATGCCATCAAGATATCACCTCAAGTTCACGGATTAATGCCCAAATGCTTCCCTCTTCTGGAATGACATCAGTTGTCTGAATCAGCCAACAAAACTATATATTTTATTTGTTTGAGACAGTCATTCGCTAAGATCCTTGTATCTAGGGCTTTGGAGGCCTAAGAATGGGTTTCACCTCTGTTATTCTATTTTTAAACAAAACTAAGACATGTATTTTGCATCTGTTAAAAAAATCATACCTCTCTAATATCCAAGATCAATGAAAGCATAATTCTGAAACTCCCCTTATCTCGATGAAATAAAAATGTATGCTTTATAAGCTTTTGCAAAAGCACTGAAAACGACCACCAGAGGACTCTGTTGTAGAGTACTGAGAATGAAACCGAATTCTATCAGAAGTCTGATAAATATGCACTAGTCTAATTCATGTCTCTTGGGAGAGAGTAATTCAGTCTTAAATAAAATTTTGGCTAGCAAAAAATGCAGACAGTCATCTTGGCAAAACTTCTCTAATTTGATTAAACTTAAAGACAAAACTAAAGACAACATTACGAAAACATCATTGCAGTAAAAAACCAACTTGATAATACCTCTTTGTAAATATAGTCCTCCGCAAGAGAAGCGGTTCTTAAACCACTGAGCTCTCAACAGACAATAGGAAAAAAATTTGAAGCAATCAAAACATTTTTATATAGCTCCTCTCATATACACGACATGCCTAAGCTGTAGGCTTTCCTTTTTGGTTCAAATTCATATTAAGCCCCAGAATTTGAACTGTTGAGAACTTGAGTCAGAATTAAAAACCATCACCTAACAAAAAGTTACGCTTTCAAGTAGCACACAGAATTATCACAGACTAAGCTACATTATGACTGTTAATATATTACACATTAGCTGGTATCAGGAAATGCAGTTTCATATCCCAGTTTATTCAGGAGGAAATGCTGACTTGCGAGGTTCCTAAACATGCTCTCCTCAACCACCTCCATGATTTACCACCATGTACATTTGTGCTGATGCAACTACCTGTGTAGCTGGGTTGCAAGTGAAATCACGGACATGAACTGCAAGAAAACAGCCTGCAGAAGTCAATATTTTGTTTCATGCAGGTCACTTCACTGATCTGGTGTAAGCAGTGCTCTCTTAAAACAACTGCTGTCTCAAACTACTTGAAACCCGGTGCAGTCCTGAAAAAGCAGTATTTTACCTTCTTTGTGTCCCCCAAGCGGATTAAGAAGACACTGCACTTAGAAAGGAGCAGCCAAAGAAGTGCTGGTTTCCCAAACTCAAGTAGCAATGGCTCGCGACTTTGTCTATATGCAGCAAGAAATCAGGCAATGTGGCTTGACAGTGTTATACTGGATCTGGCCTAACAGAAATGCCAGAATAATACTGAGCAGTTTAACTCGTATCACTCCGGACTAAACCGTGACTCAAAGAGGGAACTTTTTTAACGCAGTAAAAGTACTTAAGCCACAGTAACATTACCCACTTTAACTCATTTATTTCCAATCAGTTAGAAATAAGATTCAGTTGAAAAGTACAGCTAACTGAATTAATTCAGATGAAAGTATCTACATTTGAAACTGATCCAGGCTGTTTAAAATGCCTTCTTACAAACTTGGAAGGAAAAAAAATTGTTTCTAGAGCTAGGAATTTGTCATCTTGTTTATATGGAGTGAAACAGCATTTCCAAACCTCTGCCCCTCAAGGATGTCCTAAGGACTACAGATTCTGTTTCCCCTTGAGTTTGGGAGTGTGCCAATCATCTTAAAAGAGTATGCAAGGTATCCTTTCAGGATCAGATAATTCAAAAAATAAAGGTACACCCCCCTCCCCATAAGTACAAGAAGCAAACAAAGCACATTAGGAGAGTGGAATGCCTTTACCAAATAGACAAATTCCTGACTTATCTTAAACTCTCTTTGAAATACTTTCTGAAAATATTACGATTTTTGCAGCAGCAAATTTAAAGACTAGAACAGTCACATTACAATTTCATAGCATGTCTGAAAAATCAGTTCGTAATTACTTGCAATCGGTTGGGAAAAAAAAAAAAATCTACAAGCATTGCAAAAATTCCTGCCTGTAAATACTCCATTTAAGCCTATTGCTCAGAATTCATTGCTCAAGACTGCCCCAGTTCCATGGAGACCTGACAAAGCTTTACTTCACCAAGAAACCGACCACTCTCCTTTATACAAGGAAATAAGGATTTCCTACAAGAAAGGGTATTTCTTCTTTTAAGTTTTTTTTATTCTTGTTGACTGCTAGTGAAATTAAGTCAGCTCTGAAAGTTGTCATTTGCGGGTTTGAACATCTTTCTTGTACCGAACTTTCTGGAAACGCTGATGACGAGGACTGTGACCCTGAATTTAACTCATTATTAAACAGAAAGCCAGGTAAGAAACGAAATGTTAGGCTCTCCACAGCCTGTGTTATCTAGCACAGACTGGTATATTCTGAACAAACCATTTTTATGATTTTACACCTAAACACATAAAATTGATCAATTCTGGGAGAATGACAAGAATATTGCAGAATGTGGCTGATAGGTCCTACTCATTCTCGTGGTACAAAAACCAAGCTGAGCTACAGCAGCTCGTGATAACTCTGTATCACATTTCTCATATGAAGGAAGTATTTAATCAAAGCGATTTGGTGACCTGGGTAAAATAATCCTTGTCAGATCACTTCCCTTTCCGGTTCTCAGAATACTGCCAAGTACTAAGAACTGAATTAGAAGAAGCACAATGCCAAGTCCTACAGAGAAGTGTTCCATCAGAGTGTTTTACCCACTCGCGTGATATAAAGAATACCATAAGATCAGGTTTTGCTCCTAATGAAACTTTGTGTAGCTTGATAGGTTTTTTTTCCAGTCGGTGGGTAGGTAGTGCACAAACTAGGCTTTTAAGACAGTTATTTAGAATGCAAATCTTCTCCAGTAAGTCTACAGATGGTTGTGATAATAAAAACTGCTTTTAATTCTGTTGATGAGATTTTAAACAAAAGTCCAACAATCCCCCAAAAAAAGGCAAAAAAAGGAAACCCCAAAGCACCGCAGTTTAGGCAATTCACCTAGAAACGGCATGAAATAACATCCAAATAACAACTCCTCCTCAGAAATGAGACTGAAGCAGAGAGCCCAGCACAGCAGTGCTTGGCTACGGAGTTTAAATTTGCCAGACGAGAGGAGCTGCTCCAGAGGAGCAAAGCGACACACCTGCCTCCCTACTTACCTACTCGGGGCTTTGCATGACCAGGCCTAACACTCAAGAGCAAAGCTACCAGAACACAGCAGCAACTGAAAAAAAACCCCCACATAGTGAAGCCAGACCTAGCAAAGCCACCCGCCCCCTCCAAGGAGGCGCCTACCGAAAGGGATGTATGAAATTCCCGCAACTGCCCTGGAGAACTCCTTCCCACCCCCCACCCCCCGGCTTTCTTCGGCGGATTTTGCCCTCCCGCCTGTCAAAACGGGTTTATCTATGAAGAAACATCCCAAACACCCCTGCAAACGCCCGACCCCAGCCACCCGCGGGGAAGGCCCAGCCGGTGGGACAGCTGCCCCCGGGCAGGGGGG